TAACACACACACACGTACTAGCTGTAACACACACACGCACTAGCAGTAACACACACACACGCACTAGCTGTAACACACACACACAGCTGTAACACACACACACACGCACTAGCTGTAACACACACACGCACTAGCAGTAACACACACACACGCACTAACTGTAACACACACACACACGCACTAGCTGTAGCACACACACACACAGCTGTAACACACACACACACGCACTAGCTGTAACACACACACACACAGCTGTAATACGCACACACACGCACTAGCAGTAACACACACACACAGCTGTAACACACACACACACGTACTAGCTGTAACACACACACACAGCTGTAACACACACACGCACTAGCTGTAACACACACACACGCACTAGCTGTAACACACACACACACGCACTAGCTGTAACACACACACAGCAGTAACACACACACCAGCTGTAACACACACATACACGCACTAGCTGTAACACACACACCAGTGGTAACACACACACACACAGCTGTGACACACACACACGAGTGGTAACACACACACACACACAGCTGTAACACACACACACGCACTAGCTGTAACACACACACACACTAGCTGTCACACACACACACAGCTGTAACACACACACACGCACTAGCTGTAACACACACACACACGAGTGGTAACACACACACAGCTGTAACACACACACACAGCTGTAACACACACACACACATACGCATTAGCTGTAACACACACACACACGCACTAGCTGTAACACACACACACACACAGCTGTAACACACACACACACCAGTGGTAAAACACACACACACACACACCAGTGGTAACACACACACACACGCACTAGCAGTAACACACACACGCACTAGCAGTAACACACACACACGCACTAGCAGTAACACACACGCACAGACCAGCAGTAACACACACACGCACTAGCAGTAACACACACACACACACGCACTAGCAGTAACACACACACACGCACTAGCAGTAACACACACGCACACACCAGCAGTAACACACACACACACCAGTGGTAACACACACGAGTGGTAACACACACACACATGCACTAGCTGTAACACACACACACACACACGCACTAGCAGTAACACACACACACAGCTGTAACACAAACACACAGCTGTAACACACACACACACGCACTAGCAGTAACACACACGCACTAGCTGTAACACACACACACACACGCACTAGCAGTAACACACACGCACTATCTGTAACACACACACACACAGCTGTAACACACACACACGCACTAGCAGTAACACACACACGAGGGGTAACACACACACACAGCTGTAATACACACACACACCAGTGTAACACACACACACACGCACTAGCAGTAACACACACACACACACGAGTGGTAACACACACACACAGCTATAACACACACACACACAGCTGTAACACACACACACACCAGTGTAACACACACACACGCACTAGCTGTAACACACACACACACAGCTGTAACACACACACACACACGCACTAGCAGTAACACACACGCACACACCAGCAGTAACACACACACCAGTGGTTACACACACGAGTGGTAACACACACACACACGCACTAGCTGTAACACACACACACACGCACTAGCAGTAACACACACACACAGCTGTAACACAAACACACAGCTGTAACACACACAGCTGTAACACACACACACACGCACTAGCAGTAACACACACGCACTAGCTGTAACACACACACACACGCACTAGCAGTAACACACACGCACTATCTGTAACACACACACACACACAGCTGTAACACACACACACCAGTATAACACACACACACGCACGAGTGGTAACACACACACACACAGCTGTAATACACACACACACACCAGTGTAACACACACACACACGCACTAGCAGTAACACACACACACACGAGTGGTAACACACACACACAGCTATAACACACACACACACAGCTGTAACACACACACACCAGTATAACACACACACACGCACTAGCTGTAACACACACACACACACAGCTGTAACACACACACACACGCACTAGCAGTAACACACACACACACACGCACTAGCAGTAACACACACACACACGCACTAGCTGTAACACACACACACACGCACTAGCAGTAACACACACACACACGCACTAGCTGTAACACACGCACACAGCTGTAACACACACACACACACACGCACTAGCAGTAACACACACACACACCAGCGGCGCGCACGTCAAGTGAGCGACCTCACGCGGGGCTGACCCCGTTGCGCCGTCGGGGTTAGGCGAGGGTCGGGGCGTCGTAGGAGTCGCGGGGTACGAAGGCTGTTTGCCGGTGGGTGGCTTGCTGCTTGTGGTAGGTTGCTGCTGTTGGTGGTGGTGGGGGTGGTGGGGGTGTAGCAGGGTAGGCCCCTGTTAGGCCGAGTGGTGACCGTGGGATCACGAGGCTCTCCCGGCTTCCGCGATTGTCTCCCCCTCGCCGCTTCGTGAGCCGCTTGGGACGCGACGTGGCGTCAAGACCGCGAGCGAGAGCCGCACGCACGGACCGTTCGGGCCTTCCCCGCCGTGCTGCACCCTTTGCCGTGTGGCCTCGTGTGCGCGGACCGCGAACGCAGCGACTATCGCACGCGAATGGCGAAAATGCGATGTTTAAAAAATGAACACGAAAGGTTCCCCTGGCAATGACCGATCAAAAAAGCGTGCGCGCATTGTGTGTTTGGCGGTGTGTGTGCAATGAGTAGACACACACACAAGGCATAGATCCGCACCCCCCCCGCCCCAGTGTAGCCTTGACAGACTGTTGGGGCAAGTGCTGTTAGCGAGCAGCTATGAAGGTTGGCACGGCACCCGAGGGGGTGGGTGGCCAGCACCACGCCCGGTCGCCTTTGTCTCCCCAGTGGCGATGTTTTACAGCACCACACACACATACGTAGACGAAGATACATAGACACGCACACGCACATTTAACCGTACATTATTAATTTCACAAGCACGCGTTACAAAATTGGGAACTCAATACACAACGAACACACACTCAGATTTGATGGGTTATGGATATTTTTTAAGATGACAATAACAATAACGTACACATTATGGTGTATTTGTTTACACATTTTTTTAACGTAGTATTTCTTAACTGTCTCCTATGTAAACATTTACGATTCGCAATCGAAACGGACTTCTTCCCGACGACGTGGCGATTGTCCTTTCTATTTTTTGCGCTCAATTCGGTGCGAATATGAAACGCGATCGCGAACCAACAACAACAACAAACAAACAAACAAAAAATAAATCCACAGAAACGTGACCCATTTCTCAAACCCCCCCCACCCCCCCGATCTCTTCGTATTTGTGCGTTGCGGCCGCGGTGAGCGAGGAGGCGCGGTGAGTGCGTGAGTGTGATGAGAGTGAGTCTTGTTGTTGTTGATGTTGTTGTTGTTGACGCGAACTCGGACGCGTCGTCCTCTCCCCCCCCCCCCCCCGCGTTCGCGGCACCGAGGAATAACGACGCATAGTGAGGAGCGGGCGAGCGAGCGACTTGACATTTGAGAAACACTTTATTTACGACGTTCGCTGTCGTTCGTTGCGCGCACGACGTATAGCCCCCCCCCCCGCGCGTTCAGGGGGCACTTTTAAACGAATCTCCGTGGCCTAAAGTATCCCCGTGGCTCCGTCTATGTTGGCTCCTGGGTGCGTGCGCGTGTGTGTCTGTCTGTGTGTTGTGTCTGTGTGTGTGTCTGTGTGTGTGTCTGTGTGTGTGTCTGTCTGTGTGTCTGTCTGTGTGTTGTGTGTGTGTGTGTCTGTGTGTGTGTGTCTGTCTGTGTGTGTGTCTGTGTGTCTGTGTGTGTGTCTGTGTGGTGTGTGTCTGTGTGTGTGTCTGTGTGTGTGTCTGTGTGTGTGTGTTGTGTCTGTGTGTGTGTCTGTGTGTGTGTGTCTGTGTCTGTGTGTTGTGTGTGTCTGTGTGTGTGTGTCTGTGTGTGTGTGTCTGTCTGTGTGTGTGTCTGTGTGTGTTGTGTCTGTGTGTTGTGTGTGTCTGTGTGTGTGTCTGTGTGTGTTGTGTGTGTGTGTGTCTGTGTGTGTGTGTGTCTGTGTGTGTGGCCGCCGAGCGGATTACTTGCCACGTTATGCAACGACATTCAAATGCCCAACCCTGTATAACACGAGAACACAACCTTCCACCGCGACACGTCTTGCACCGCCGCCTCTTGTATAAAATGTAACAAATGTCGACAAAAGTGACGCTTAAAGGACAGTGATAACCGGAGACAGTAAAAATATTTCGTACGACAGATGTTATATAAAAAAATAAATTACACCAACAATATAATTTACAACACAAGGGCAGCACCTATACCTAGATCGTGTTTTTTTTTCTTCTTCTTCTAAAAATGCAAGAATATATACACGGACAGAATTGCGTGGGTTTTTTGTTGTTGTTCATATAATTAATATTATTGTCAATATTATAACTATAGTACACCGCGTTCACATTAAACAAAAAGGAACCTTTTCGTCCGAATTTTATTGCGTTTTACAAATAGTATATAAATACTGCACGTGAAGCCACGACATTTCACCTAAATGACATCCTGCGACGCCACGCGGGGCGATTTTGACACACGTCGAGAGAAGCTGCAACTTTAAAGCTGTGAATTAAATACGGAAATGTTTACGAGACTGCTGGAATGAATGCAAACATCGCGTCAACGCCCCGACCTTCTCGCCGGCCTCGGCCGTCCGTGACCGGCGATAAACCTCAGGAGCCCCCCCCCCCCCACTGCCCCCCTCCCTGCGTCTGAGAGCAAGAAGTGTGGGGGGGGGGGGGGGCACGCGGCATCGGAACGCGCGGACACCACCGACTCGAACGCTCGAAAGCGCCGCGCTCCCCGACTTCCATTCCACCACCACCATCCCCCCCAACCACCACCACCACCACCATCGCCCCCCACCACCACCACCACTTAACACTGCGAGGCTCCCTGCGACACGGGGTTGGCAGGGGTGGACGAGGCCGTGTTCAATTTGACCTTGGTGTTGGGGAGTTTGTGGTCCTTCTTCCACTTCATGCGCCGGTTCTGGAACCAGATCTTGATCTGGCGCTCGGTGAGGCAGAGCGCGTGCGCGATCTCGATGCGGCGCCGGCGGGTGAGGTAGCGGTTGAAGTGGAACTCCTTCTCCAGCTCGAGCACCTGCTGCCGCGTGTAGGCGGTGCGCGAGCGCTTCAGCTCCCCGCCGGTGTAGTTGGGGTTCACTGTAAACGTTTAAAAGACATCAATGGGCACCGATACTAGCCCCCCCGCACCCCCCCCCCCCATCTCGTTGCGAGACGGCTTCTCACCCCGCCGCCGCCGCCGCCGCCGAACTCACGACGCGGCTGCGACGCCTCGAACCGCAGTGGCCCCCGCCGCTAAGATCGCCTCTCTCTGAACCCCCTTTAGATTTTAGTTTTTTTTTAATACAAATCACAGCCGAGGCGCTGTGGGGGTTTTTTTTGTTGCTGCGTGTTCCTTAACGCGCGTTAAAGGCTAACTCGTGGGTGGAGGAGACTTCAATGGGCAGAATTGCAAATGCCACATGGCCGACGGCGCAATTGCCGGCAATAAAATTTTATGGGGGGTGTAATTACCGGCCACCACGCCGGCTCCGCATAAATCTGCGGGGAAAAAGGAGCCCCTTTGATGGTCCTCCGCCTTTCACAACCAAAAGCGGCTGCCTCCCCCCCCCGTCTCCACGCGGCTGTAAACACTCGGTCGCACGCTTCCTCACCTGTGCTCACGTGGATCTTTTTCATCCACGGGTACACGACCGGCTGCTTCAGTGTCGCCGCTCCTCCGTTCTGCTGCTGCTGCTGACTCTGCTGCTGCTGCAGCTGCCCGCCCGCGCCGCTCTGGCTACACACCCCCGATGCCAGTGCCGCGCCCTCCGAGTCGTCGCACTCCTTGGGGCGGTGCTGAGCCGCTTGCCTCGCCTCGGGGCCGCGGCTCTGGGAGTCGGGCGGACGGCGTGCCTGGCCGAGACCCCGTCCGGCGGCGGCAGCCGCAGCCGCCGCGGCCGCCGCCCCGGAGACGTGCAGGAGGCGCTCGCAGCTGTAGCCCGGCTCCTCGGGGCTGTAGTCGGTCGCAGACTCGTACAGCGCTTGGTGCGGCGGCGCGGGGAATGTCGGTGCGGGCGCCGGCTGGCCCCCGCCAGCGTAAAACTCGGCATCCTGCTCGGGGATGTAGCTGTTTTGCGAGTACTCCTCGCACGGAGGGAATTTGGGGTCCACATAGTTGGAGTTCATCAAGAACGAGCTCATGGCCATAAATTTCGGAGGGTGGAAAAATACTAATTTTTCTCGCGTTTGTCGTTTTCTGCTCCTAAATCCCTCCTCCGCCCGGGCAAAAGTGCAAAGTTGAGCGGTCACATGGCGCGCCCCGGCCAATAGCGCGGCGCGCGTCGGAGCGCGCCGACAAAACCTCGGATGATGAATGTCCTCAAAGTGGGTGATTTAGAAAATCCATCGCAGGCATTTGCACTTTTGGGAGGGCAAACTTGCGATTTTCACCGACGACTCGTTCGCGAAAAGGACTCGCGGCTCGTCTGGTCCTCCGCTAGACTCCCCCGCACGAAAAAACAAAGAAATCAGGGCAAACTCCACGCGGCGTAGGGGAGCGCAACGCGTGAAGGTAGGAGGACGCCTTTCTCTTGAAACGCATCCAAGCTACTCCTCCGAGACGCGGAACAGGCCACGGGTAGCGGGTATTGCACCCCTTTCTTTGTGCGCTGCAGAATCCACCGCCCCTCCACCCCCCCCCTTGTAGGAGCCTCGTGCGCAGTGCCTCGTGCCCCCCACTTCTCTCAGGGCCCCCCACCCCGAGGCCCCCCCCCCCCCACTACCGAGCCCCCCCCCCCGGCCCCTCTCACAGGAGCTGGAGAGCCGCGATAGTCCGCGCGTCTCCACGAGCCGATTCCTCCATCTCTCCTCGTGAACGCAGAGCGCGTTGGTAGCGCAGGCCGGGCGGTTCACCGCGGACTGTATCGAGACTGTCTTGATGGGTAATGGTGCGCCATGCAGATCTCGTGGTGTCGGTTTTTACGTGGCGTAGACTGTTACATTTAAATAATAATAATAATCATAATAAAAACTAAACGAATGCTTTACAGTGGTCCGCGTCATTCGCAATGAAGGGAAATTAAGGTCAAGCATTTGCATGACAAAACCTATGACGGGGTGACTCAGGGTAAACAAAACAGGCACAAATTGGGGGCAACCTCGGGGCTGCCCCGCGCGACAAGGGGACGCCCGACACGCCAGCAGGGAACGTTCATTGTCTTGATTCACGACCATTGTTTGCAGAACCGCGTCCACCCCGCGAGTCGCCCGTCCTGTATTTTGATTTTGATGGCGCGGGGGGTGGTGGGTGGTGGTGGTGGTGCGATGTTGCGGAGGGGGGGGGGGGTGGGGGTAAATTCTGGGCGAGAAGCGGCGGCGGTGGCAGCCGCGGCGAATTTTCGAAGGTACCAAAATCCAACATGTACGTTCAGCACCCCCCCCCCTCCACCCACCCCCAGCAGCAGCAGCTCCCCGTTCGACTCCAGACTCTCCGGTGTAGCACAGCAGGTGACTATGTAGTCCTTAAGAATCGAATTTGTGGATTCCAGAAGCCAGCACAAATTCGAGTCCACAGGGTATACATCGGCCACCCTTATCAGCGGACACGGCGCGAGAACGCAATGCGTCTCCCGACGGCGCGACGGCACACAACTACACAAAGCACAATCATTGCATTTCGGGTTTGGGGGGGCTGTTAGCCCCGCGAGGTGTGGGTTTCATTCGCTCGACGACCACCTCCCCCCCCCCTGCACCCCCCCCCCGGTGCCATTTCGTTCATTCGCTCACGGGGTAACACAGCCTCGAATGAAATTCATCGCTGCGTCCACGCAGGCGGTGGTGGTGATAGCGTTGAGTCATCGTAGATTGTTGACAACTCAGAGCGCGCGGGTTGTGGGAAGGGGGGGGGGGGGCTGTGGCATGATAACGCGACCCACGCTGCTCGTCTTGCCGGAGATGTCTGACTACAGATATCTAAAGCGGCCTCGTCAAGGTTCGCCCGAATGATTACAATTGTACGCCCATACGTCGTTTTGGCATGCGACCGCGTGCAAGAGGGGACAGTTTGGTGCGTGCGCGTGAATAACTGTGTTTTGCCTTTGTGTCTTCATAGCGTGTGTCTGTCTCTTTGGGTTGGATGTATCCCGTAAACATATTTGTGCGTGCACTGTTGCGTATATTTCGTGTATGTATGTGTTGTTTTTTTGTCTGCTCGGACCGTCTTTTCTCTTGTGCGCGTGTCTTTCGTTGCTTGTCTCTCGTTGTGCAAACGCGTATCTGTCTGTGTGCGTTGTGTGTGTCTGTTTGTCTTTGTCTGCCTGGCTTTGTTTGTGTGCCTGCGTGTGTCTGTCTGCGTGTGTGTGTCTGTCTTCGTCTGTGTACAAAGTCTGCCATTTAGGTTGATATCATTCGTCTGCTTTTTTGTGTTTAGTTTGTTGTCCCACCCCCGCACCTCCGATTAGCACGGTTGGCTACGTACGGTGCGAAAGAAGTTCCACGTACATACAGACAGTCGTGGACGCGCGCGTCTCTCTCTCTCTCGCTCGCTCGCTCTCACGCGTAGATGTACGGCGGGTGCCAGCATCATAATGGGAAGAGGTCAGGGCAGAAGGGAGTCGTAACGAGTGCATAATGAATAATTCCTTTAGCACGCCGAGAGCTTTACGAGCTCCACGGCACCGCCGCCGCCGCCGCCTTGATAGGCGAAGGGCGGTGCACGGAGAGGTCTGCCCGCTCGCTCGCTCCGCCGGAGATGAAGCGCGCTCCGTGGCCAAAAGTTCAGCGCGCGGCTCATCTCCCGGGCGCGCCTTGGACATGACCCCGCGCTCTGTGCACGGTGGCTGTGTGCGTCCTTTGTGTATGCGACCGTGTCGTGTCGCGTCGCTCAATGAGGCCCGCGTGTCCCGCCCGGGGGGACGACGACAACGACGACTCCCACCTCCGACCCCCCCCCCCCCTACCACCACCACCACGGCTTCCTACGGCGGCACAACCGTGCGTCCTGCGGTGGACGTGGCGTGAGGAACCGTGGGGGTGGGGGGGAGGGGTACCCTGGGACGAGCAAGCGGGGCACGGCATTCATGCGGCGCTCATCGGCGCGTGGTCAGAAGAGGCCGCAATTAATGAAGGTCGCGACCGAGGCGGCACGGGCCTCGCGGGGAGGAAGGTGGCGGTGCAGGTAAGTTGCAGCCCGTGTCTCGTGCTGCTCACTCCGTTGCCCCGTCTCGTTGTGTTTCTTACAGGGAGCGAGCGACGCGCGGCCACGGCAGGACGCGCTTTTTTTGTCGAGTTGCCACGGGCTCACAGCGCCGCGTGCCCCCCCTCGCTCCACTCCTCCACCTCCACCAGACCTCCGCTCCCCCCACTGCACGAAGGAGCACCCCGGATTCACGGGCCGAGGTGACGGCCACCGACCGCCGAACGAGTCGGCCTCCTCATTAACCCACGCGCGTGACCTCTCCAATTAGCACGGCCTCGTGGTTTTTTTTTTACCGATTTCGTGAGCGCGCGTGCGTGTCAGTTATTATGACGTTGCTGCTTCGGTGGATTTCACGATGCATAACAGACTTAAAGCTTTCGTGACTGCAGGAATTCATATTCTATGGTTCTTTCGGTAAAGTCACGTAGATATAAACGTCGTGATTTTTTAAAATAATTTTTATTCATTTTCTATCTACGTGACTTTACCGAAAGAAAAACAGAATAAGAAGATGCATAACAGGCTCGTTCAAAAATAATAATAATAGGGATTGTTTTATTTAATGTCGGAGAGAATGGAGAAATCTCGTATGTATTTATATATGTGTGTGTGGGTATGTATGTATGTTATGGGGAGCGGCAGTGTGGCGTTTAGCGTGATGCGCTACGAACATGTGTCCGATTCCCGCTCAAGGCCAAAATCAGTGACGATGAATCGGAACTGGTCCTGGACCCTCCCCTAGGTCGATTCAGCCTCAAACGACTACCTCGTGTTGTGTGTAAACATCGCCACTGGGGGAGACAAAGGCGGCCGGGTGTGGATCTTGGCACAGCACCCACCTCGTGTGCCGCGCCAGCCTTCATAGGGTGCTCGCTAACAGCACTTGCCCCAACAGTCTGTTGAAGGCTGTACGGGGGATCTGTGTCTTTGTTGCACACGTAGACACGCGCCCGTTGTATTCGCGGTGTATATTAACCGAGATAACAACAAGAAAAAACCGAGAGCCACATCTACGATGGAAATCGGGGTCGTTGCGGGTACAATAACGAAAGATTATTTTGTTTCCTTCCTAACTGATCAGTGGGGAGGGGGGGTCATGGCCCTGTGATTTGAACGGCGGCATTGTTGTTAAAAATTACGATATCTTTTTTTTAAACCTCGAAAGCTTTAAATGGACCTCTGGGCTATTTGCGCGTGCATGCACACACACACATACACACGTGTGTGTGTATGTGTGCGTGTACTTTATTGCTCATTTAATTACCGTGTTTCAAATCCTTAGCAAAACTTTAACCGCGCGTGTGTGTGTATGTGAGTGTACTTTATTGCTCGTTTAATTACCGTGTTTCAAATCCTTAGCAAAACTTTAACCGCGTGAGTTAATCAATGACCGGCGCACAACGCGGATGTCCCGCAACCTTTCGTAGCGCGAATCGCGGCTTCCTGTACTCGGTCGACCCCCCCCCCCCCCCCCCCCGTAGTTATGTTTTTGTTTGTTGCTGCTTTGTTCTTTATGTAATAAACCCGCAACTGCCGCCTCCCCCCTAAGTCTACTACTGTGAGTCGTATCGGGCTGCCCCCCACCCATCCCGCTGTCTCAACGTCGTCGCGAGGTGCCGATCGCGTCTCAACCCGAGGCGCCTCGCGCGCGCTCGCCCGCTAGTTCGTATGCGCGCGGCTCCACGCAACAACAATAACGACAATAACAACAACAACAACAACTAAAAAGCGACCCACCCGCACACAACGCTCCCCGGTGACGTCTATCTACGGCTCATGCGTGTCATCGCCAGAATGTTACTCTCGCACAACAAGACCGTCCCCCCCACCCCCTCCCCACAACAACAACAACAACAATAACCTGCGTCCACCATCTCCAACAAACAAACAAATAAACGAAAACCGCGACGGCTCTCAAACGCGACGTGGTCCCGGTGCGAGCGCTTTTAAAAACGCGCTCGACTCGAGCCCCGAACAGCGCGAGCTGCTTTCGTCTCATCGTGGCGCACGCAAAAAAGCCATCCGGTGTGGGTGGAAATCGTTCATTTCCTCGCTCTCTTATCTCGCGTTCCTTCCAAACTCACGCGTGTGTGTATATTGTTGCACAAAATAGAAAAAAAAAATATCGAAGCCCGGTTGTGACAGCCGTGGCGACGCGGGCAAAAAGCCTCCGCCGCAGTCGTGATAAGGAGCAGCAGCAGCAGCGGCAGCGGTAGGAGGAGGAGGAGGAGGCGTCGCTCGCTGTTGGCGTTTCTCAAGCGCTGTGCAAGCGGCGCCGAGCTCGGATAACCGGCGCAATAGCGACATGGCGCGGCTGTACGGGAACTCGCAACGCCACCACCACTCCTCTCGTGAGCGCTCCCATCCCGCCTCCCCCTCCTCCTCCTCCCTTCCTGTGCCCGCCGCCTCGCGTAGCCGCGCGGCCATGCAGCGCTGCAAAGCGCTCGGTTAACATCGCGAGCCAGGGATGTGTTCCAGTAGATGGAATCC